TATATGGAGTTTACTATTTGGCATATCCAGAAACCTAATACCTACGACCAAATCCTATAAATATAGACCAAACCGTATCGACTAACCATCCTAAAACAAAACTTCTTAGTGTGATTCACAAGAGCTGTAGGTTCAAGAGAGATCAAAGGTCGTGAAAAACTACATAAATTAACTTTCCATGAAAGAATATATTACATAAGCACTCACCTTATCTAACTCTCTTTGCTTACATATGTAAATGACGACGTCCTCGATGCGGGTGAAACTAAAGTCGTGCATTGTTTTGGAAAAGAAAAAAAGAGTGAAACTTATGTTATGGGACATGATCGTGTTTTAGTATTATATGGGTATTTTCTTTATTAGTCTTTAGTTAAACAACTAAATTTATGTATATCTAAGCTTTGCAGGGTTTTTAGCATTAGAGATGTTCCTCTCATGGGTGATTTACGAGAAGATAGTAAGCGGTTAACTTAAGACGAGATTCCGTATCGGTAATTTTTTAAACTTTTCTAATGTAAAATAGATTGTGACAATCATATTTTTTGACCAGCTATATTTTCATGAAAGAATATCTTACCTTATTTTTATAATAATATTTAATTTATATATAAAACAAAATTATCTTGCATAATTCTACTCATAACTTATTAAAAAGCACAATTCAAGATTAGAAAATTTAACTACACTAAAATATAAAACATTTAAACATAATCTCACACCATGATATTATTATGCAAGTATAATGAGATATGTAAAATAATTAAAATCTCTTTTATAGACATCAAACTGAAAATTTAAAATTTAAATGTTATTGCTCATTTTTACATTAAAAGTAGAATGTTCGTTACCTAACAAGTTATTTTTGAGCAGCGCTTTTAAATGTAGAGTTTTAAAATAACAATAAATTTTAGTATAATTTAACAAATATAAATAATTATTATTCTATTTGAATATAAATTATAAATCCTAAATAAAAACTATAAACTAAAGTCTAATCCCTAAAACATATCTGCAAACCTCTAATAAATTTTAATAAATAGTAATATTTTCTAGTTACAATATTTGGACAAAGTTAAGGTTTTGAAATAACATATTTGTTAGTTACAATATTTTTTTTCACCTAATACCTGAAACAAAATCTGTTTTGTTATTGGATTACAAGATTTACTTTATGCTAACCATATTTTGCATAATTGTCGTAACAAAATGCTAATAAAACGAGCAAACCATTTAAATTTCAGTTACCAAATCAGATTTTTATTTTCTATTCATTTTTAAAAGATACTTTTCATGGCAAAAAGGGGAATATCAAAAAAATTTCAAATACAAAAACTTCATTTATTCTAAAATAGATTGAAGACCTTACACAATTTTCATTAAATATAGTTACAGAGTGGCATGTATTAAAGTTAAATATTAAATGAATAAATCGTGCTAACAATAAATATAATTAAATTCACTATTTATAAATAAATCAAATCTGAAAAATATAGCAAATTAAGTGCCCTTAAATCTTTGGTCCATTACTTAGTAAACAAACTTCAAAGTATTTATGTAAGCAGTCCAAATAAATTTTAGTTCTTCACATTATTTATCTATCCAAATTAAACCAGTTATGTTTTGTATTTAGTTAAACTAGGTGTTATGATAGACATGTGTCGTCACAACATTTTTAACCGGTTTAGATGGTTTAATTCAAATCTTATTATTAGTCCAACTTGAATTTTCTTAAATAAAAGATGTGATTGGTCCGATCTAACTAATCTGATTCGTTCATTTTTCAAAATACTTTATAAATTAACGTTGCTAATATTATTTTTGAATTCGATTATGCAAAAGAACAAAACCCGTCCTTTCAAAATGCTTTTCTGTTTCAACAATATTTACAATTTCTTGCCACTGAGATATTTTGGGCTATGCATTTATTTAAATATTTTTTTGGTAATTGATCATACCCAGTTAGACGGAGGTGCTCCTCGGAGAATCGACTCGTCTCACCACCACTTGATCTAGCTTAGATGGGCGGCTGACAAAAAAAATTAAGTGAGCTATTTTTTAACTTCTTTAGATATTTTATCATGTGTAGTTATACTTTAAATATATCTTTCTTTTCATGGTTATATGAATTAAAATATATATCAAATATTTTTGGTGTCATTCTCTTTTGAAAATATTTACAGCTATCTCATTTTATAGTGGTATTTTGTGTGATTTTTAATTAGAAATATGAAATATTTATATAGAAATATTATAGAAGGGTTATTTCTTATTTTATAAATTAAAATGAGTTAGTATTCATTTTTTATTAATTTAATATTAATTACGATTTTTATTATTAAAATAATATTAAAACATTAATTATTTATATTTTAAATAAAAAGATATTAAAAGATATTGTTAAATTTTGATCTTAGAAAAATAGTTAAGAGTATATTTTTGATATCTTATTTTGCAAAACAAATTAAATAGTGTGTTAAGATTATATGTTTATTTAATAATAAATAAATTTGTTGTATTCAAAATAATAAAAATTATATAAATCATTTTGAGTTTGTTTGAGAGAATCAGAGAAATGTCTATCGTTCTAATATACATTTTTCATACATCCAAAGTTTTAGGTCTGTACAATTATAATATCATCAGTAAGTGGTAACATTTTAACTACTAATTAATCTTCCATTTTCTCATACGCTCTAAATATATTTGAGGTTTTATGAAGTTTATTTCATACCTTAGCATTTTCAAAACTGAACATTATAAAAGTAAATATTCAGTAGATATTCATTATTTTTTATTTATAAATTAAATGTTAAATTAAGATATTAAGAATTCTACATATATATTTAAGTTCATAAAAATTAAAAAAATAATACTTATATCATTTGTTGTATAAATGATCAGATTACAACCCTTGTTCGGGAACTCACTAGGCGCTACGCGTGCGGTGCACTGGGGCCTAGCGGTTTATTAGAAAATCGGAAAAAACTCGGGGAGTACTCGGGGATTTTTTTTCCAAGTTATATCGAACTTATACGTATATATAATATCTTAGTTAGTTTAGCTGAAGAACTTCGATAGTCTAGAGGTTCTTAAGAGTCCATAAGACCTCAATGTTTCATGTTCGACGCCGTCATTCTCTATATTTTGTGTTTATTTTGTTTTTTTCTTAATAAAGGGTAAGAACGTAATTTTCTCTCCATCTTCTTCCTCGACATATCATCTGTAACCCTAATTTCTTGCGGCCACCTTAACTTTTTTCGACATAATCCATCAATTTTGGGGCTATTTTGTTCGTTTAAACTTAAATTGATCGATATTAATGATTCATTATGATAGATTTAAGGTTTTAGTGTCAGATTTGAACGATTAAGCACCATCAAAAAATTTCACCGATTTGTTGGCCGCACAGAGTGAAATCGCGGCGGAACACCTCCGGATAGCGTTTCATCGCCGTTTAATCAGGCTCTCCGGCCGCGTGTTAGAACAAGGGTTACAACTGATATTTTACGACTGCAATTTCTATCGGTTTTTCATTAAATAAACAAAATATTTCATTAATAGATGGAATGAAAAATGGTTTAACTTATTTAGTTCTAAAGTTAAAAATGAAATTTGACCAATGAAAAACGGGTTCCATTATTTAATTTGCTAAGAATTTACAATAGTGACATTATTTTTTTGACAACTACTATTTAATTTTATAAAACAAATTATGAAACTATAATTTATACAGGTGAAGTCTGATATTTGGGGTAAATAATTTTGTTGAATCAATTTAAAAACAATAAAGAAATATTTAATGGAAGAGAAAATCCTTTAAAAACACAATAGTACAAAAATGATATTGTAAAATATTTTGAGGTTAAAAATAAGAACGAATATTATAGTAAGATGGATATTAAAACACCGATAATAAAACTAACGAGAATATTACTCTTGAAAATATTATCCAAATAAAAAATCAAACTCGAACGGAAACGAAAAAACTAAAACCAAAATCATACAAAAATTTTGAAAAACTCAAACAGTTACTATTTCTCAAACCCGAAAACCAAAACTAAAATCAGAACCGCACCGATAACTAAAAAAGTATCCAAATATTCAAAATATAATAAAGATATTAATTATCATAATATATAATATAATTTATATATTATAATATGCAAAACCCTTAATTACCTAAACTACCCTTTTTGAATTTTTAGGATTAATTCCATTTTAAAAAGTTTTTTGAGATTTACGGCTTTAACATGACTCAGACTATTTATAATTAGGTTTTATTTCGGGTTTTACAAAAAAAAATATATAAATGCAAACCGAATCCGACATTACTCGAATTGACTGATTCGAAAAATGTTTGGTTCTTACACAGGTCCTAAACATCCAAATCCAAATAACTCGAAAAAATATAAATACAAACTCAATCTAACATTACTCACACTAAACCAATCCGAAAAATGTAACGATACCTAAACATCCCACCAGAATTACTATAAGAAAACTATATAAATTACTATTAATTATAGACATCAAAATTCAAATATTAAAATTAAGAAAAAAATAAATTGTAGTAATTTCTAATGAGAAAAATTAACCAAAAACTTATTCCGCGTTTTGAAAGCGCAGATCAAGATCAGATATTACTTATAAACTGAAAGAAAAAAAACCCGTGCGAATCTAGTAGAAATGAGAAGGTAACAATAAAAAGCATATTCCCCCAAAACAACATATTCATTTTTTTCTTCCGTTATATTTCTGTTGACATAATCAAATCTCCAACATATTTTATAGAAAACCACGCGATTGACATTTTCAAAAATAACCGGAGGAAAAAATATAATAACGAGGATTCAGTTTCAGTATCTGAAAAGATCTAGTAAAATATATTCTCAAATTCTATACACACCGCACAATTAGGTTAAAAAAAGCCCTTCTATATAATCCTTTCCACATCCATAAAGTTCTCCTTCACACTCAATTCATTTCGCACACAGTCAACAATGAAAAGCCTCATTATCGTCATCCTAGCTCTCCTATGTGTCATTGTTTCACCGACCACAACGATGGGAGGTTGGCCAAAACCTTCAGAAGTCTCTAATGAGGAGAAGCTGATGAATGCCGCCCATCCCCAACCTCATTTATACACTAGTAAATTCAGTTTTGGAGATTCTAAAGTCTGGAAATGTACTTATATCAACGGATCTGGAGTGGCCGTTTCTATTACTTACCCTTCACCTCCTCAACCACCGTCACAAAAGCCACAAACTCCGTCGTCTCCCCCGACTTCAAAGATGGTTCCGCCACCACCTAAACCCTCACCTCCACGTCCAACACCGAAGAAGTCTCCTCCACCTCCTAACCCATCTCTTCCGCCTCCTACACAATCACCTCCGCCTCCTAAACCATCACCTCCGCCTCCTAAACCAAAAAAATCTCCGCCGCCTCTTAAACCATTGCCTCCACCAACTCCTAAAAAGTCTCCGCCATCACCTACACCATCACCTCCGCGTCCAGCTCCAAAAAAGTCTCCTCCACCTTCTAACCCATCATCTCTGACTCCAAATGAGTCTCCTCCACCTTCTAAAACATCAATTCTGGTTAGTATAACTATTTTGTTAACGTCAAAAATATATTTTAGTAATAAATCAGTTTATCTCATACTTCTCGTTTCTGTCTATATGGTATTCAGACATAATGCATAAATAAATTAATAAAGTTAGAAAATAATTATAATAACTTTTACCAAAAATATTCTTATCATAACCCTGTTTATATTAGTGAATAATGATGAGGACAACAATCAACGAATTAATCACTTATTATAAGCACAACTAAAGAACAACACCTAAAATATTTTGCATTGAATATTAAAAACATCACTTCAAATTAAAGCTATTTTTGGCAAAAAAACCTTTTAATATCTCTAATGATGATGTTTGTTATATTTGTCAGCGTATTACTGTTGTCTATGAGATTAATCTAAACCCATTTTCATGTGATTTCTGCCTTTGATATTTATTTTTTAGATCATTCACTCTCCACCACCGCCACACGAATCAATCCCAGCACAATCACCTCCAAAAGAGCCAACAACGCCATCAACTCCATGGCCTCATTATTGGAATCCGTTGGGGCATTTCATTAACTGCATGACCGAATTTGGGCCGTCGGCAGTATGTAAGCAACAGATAGAGTTAAGTTACTACACAGGGAGGTTTCGTGTAAGTGACTATTGCTGCAACCTTTTCGTCAACATGAGAAATGAGTGTTCTGATGTCATTTTGGGCTTCTACACCGATCCCTGCTTCCTTCCCCTACTTCGTTGCACTTGTCACGTCAAGATCTACTAATTTCTATTTGGGCCCATTAGGGCTTTCTTTTCTTCTTTTTTAGGTTCTTTAGTCATGTAGTTTTGTTATCGTCCATATCTTATGGACCGCTCTTTGGTTACATTTCAGAAAAATAATAAAAAGTTTCTCCTTTTTTCACATTTGCTACTGCTATATGTAGTCGCCAATGCACATGCATGAAAACTTTAGCGATTAAAAAACTAAAAAAATTTGCTACCACTCGCAAAACTTCTTCGACATACAAACGAATAACATTTGTTCGCAAATAGCAGGAACAGCAAAACGAACGGACTTTGCAATTAGCGTATATATGTAACTAGGACTTTGTATTTGCTAATTGTTTAGCTGTAATGATTATACTACGTGATTACGCGCACATGCGCATGATGAATTTTTTATATTAATGTTTGTTCAGTTTTAAAAATTAGCAATGATTATACTACATGCTTACGCGCACATGCACATGATGATTTTTTTATATTAATGTTTGTTCAGTTTTAACATTTTGTAACACTATAATCTTTATCGATTGTAAAATAACGAACACAAATGTTAGTCTCTTAAATATATCATGTGTCTGGGCATTCGGGGATCTATTAGTAAAAGGAATTATAATTGCAATCGAAAAAAGGAAATAAAAGCCAAAACACATAAGTAAAAGGAAACCTATTTGAATCTTGAAATCAGAAATTATGTTGGCGCCAAAGACATAGATGACGCTGCATCAGGACTCCTCGGGTAGGAAGGATTCGACCGCGAATCAGAAGTGTTGGCGTCGGAAACATAACTAGAAAAATATTTCACATTGAACACATCAGATGTATTGACACCTTTGGGAAGACGAAGGCGATATGCATTGTCGTTGATACGTTCCAATACTTTGACCGGTCCAATCTTCTTGGACTTTTAGTTTGTTATAAGCGTGTGCTGAAAGCCTGTCACGAGTTAGATAAATCCACACAAGATCACCAACATCAAACACCAGGCGTCTACGATGTTTATCAGCTGCCTGCTTGTATTTTGTTGTAGCTGCTTCTAGACGTGCGTGTGTTGCAGAATGTGTTTGAGCAAGAGACTCCACCAAGGTTGCCGCATCACCATGAGATCGTGTCCGGTCCGGGAGAGTAATGAGATCAACTGGTGCGCGGGTATAGTGCCATAGATAATCTGAAAAGGAAAAAAACCCGGTACTTCTATTCATAGCATGGTTATGTGTGAATTCCGCTTGAGGAAGTTTAGAATCCCATGTTCATACTGCATCTCCTACAAGACAATGTAGGAGATTTGCCAATGAACGGTTCGTAACTTCTGTCTGGTCATCTGTTTGAGGATGATATGCAGAACTCATGTCAAGAATTGTTCCCAAAAGCTTCCATAAAGAACGCCAAAAATAGCCCAGCAAGCGAGAATCACGATCTGAAACAATATATAAAGGCAGCCCATGACGTTTGTATTTCTCGGAAGAATAATGTAGCCACGTGAACTGCATCCATTGTCTTTTTGCAGGGGATAAAGTGTACCATCTTGAAAAAACGATCGACAACAACGAAGATCAAATCAAAGCCTTTCTGAGTATGAGGAAGACCAACCACAAAATCCATACTAATATCTTTCCAATGCTGTGTCGGAATTGGCAATGGCATGTAGAGCCCATCATTAGATGCGTGGCCTTTTGATTTTTGACAAACGAATCAATGTTCAACGAACCTCTCGACATCTCGTCTAAGAGATGGCGAGAAACAAGAAGAAGACACGAGGTGCAAGGTATGATCGCGTACTACATGGTCTTTACGGTGTAGCTCTGAGAGGAGTTGCAAACGTAAGCTCGAATCGGGAATACACAGCTGATTACCACGGAAGAAGAAGCCATCATGAAGAGTATAGTCGGAGGAAGCAATACCCTGAATCACGGCTTGGTAAAATTTACCAAAAAATGAATCATGATGATAAAAATCGGCAAGGTTACTAAAACCCGGAACAGACGTATGCATGGTTGCCAAAAGTGAGTGTCGCTGGATTACCGCGTCCGAAACCCTATTAGATGCCCCCCAAGTATGTTTGATAACAAAGGTGAACTGCTGGAGATATGCGATTCACGAGCCATGCCGCGATGATACCTTTCCCTGGCTACTCAAGTGTTTAAGCACGTCATGATCTTTATATAAGACGAACACCTTATGAAATAAATCATGCCTCCAATGCTTTATAGCCTGAACAATGGCATAGAATTCAATGTCATAAGTGCTATAACGTGCACGAGCTCCTGCTAGTTTCTCGCTGTAAAAGGCTATTGGGAGTCCTTTCTGACTTAAGACCGCTCCTATTCCTGATTTTGATGCATCGCAGTGCAATTCAAAGACTATGGGTGAAGTCGGGAAGGACGAGGACTGGAGCTGAACAAGTTTTGTTCTTAATGACCGTGATTAATATAGCTGCCTCAGGTGTCCAAACGAAGTTACCGTCACGAATGCAGTCAGTAATAGGGGCCATTAAACTGCTGAACTGTGACATGAACCATTGATAAAACGAAGCCAAGCCATGGAATCTGCGAACTTCAGTTAATGTCGTGGGAGTTGGCCAAGACTGCATTGCTGCAATTTAACTTGGGTCAACTGCTAAGCCTTGTGCTGATACTATGTAGCTGAGAAAGTGAACGTTGGGTAGACAAAACTCACACTTCTTAAGTGTGGTAAAGAACTTGTCACGTCGTAAGACTAATAAAACTTCTGCAAGAAGTTGCATGTGGTCGGTAAGAAAAGCGCTGAAGATCAAAATGTCGTCGAAATATACGACAACAAATTTGCCAATGAAAGGTCGGAGCGCTTGGTTCATAACCCGCATGAAAGTACTTGGTGCGTTTGACAAACCAAAAGGCATTACCATCCATTCAAAAAGTCCTTTACGTGTTTTGAAAGCTTTTTTCCATTCGTCGCCTGAATTGATTTGTATCTGATAATAACCACTTTTAAGATCAAGTTTGGAGAAGATTGTTTCTGTACCTATTTGATCGAGAAAGTCGTAAAGCCGAGGAATCGGGAAACGATAACAAATTGTAATTTTGTTTATTGCTCGACTATCCACTATTGGGGTCAAAATCGGTAGGACTGAATCAATGGCCAAAACTTTCCGCAAAAAATAAAAAAATATGTTTTATAAAACTCAAGAAGTCGTTTTATAAAATTCTAAGAAGTTTCCAAACAAAGGAAATCCGCGGAAAAATTGGAAACCGTTATCTCGGAGGAACGAAACAAACGCCGATTACAAGATCGCCCGAGTTAAGCACAAAACCGCGAAAAACCGCATCCGCCATAAATCACGAGCTGGTCCGGCCAAACTAGCTCGCCGTACGGCGAGCTAGTCACATCCCGGATAGCTCGCCGTACGGCGAGCTAGTCGCTTCTCGGATAGCTCGCCGTACGGTGAGCTGAACCGATCTGGTTCGGCTCGTCGTACGTCGAGCTGGTTATCTCGAGCCTCGATCTCCCACATCCTTGATTCAAGGCATACGTCCTTTGGCTCGATCATTTTCCGAACCACGTGTGGGAACCGAAATCCACCTACTGTCAATAAATCGTAAAAAAAGAAACTTCGGGAAAACCCTAAGTTTCCTGAGGAACCGGCTATCTGCAGAACCGCACAACGAAGATTAAGAAAACAATAAACTTAGAATTTTAAAAGAATAAACGAAATTGAGAGCAAAGAGGTTCTTATTCTGAATCTGCGTAAGAACTGGTACAAAAAGAGTAGCCAAAAACTTAAGAACGAAAAACCCTAACTGAGACGCAGCTCGCTAACAGAAAACAGAAATATTCCTAAATGCTAATTTTGGTGGTGAGAGCTCTGAAAACCGTGTCCCAGCTTCTGCCCTATGCCTCCTCCTTATATACTCCTCCTTAGGCAGTTTTAGTCTTTCCATTTTGCTCGAAACCGAATATTTCGGGAACTTTCCATATCTGTCGATCATTCCTTTTCTTCTGCGGAAATCTTCTATTTATCTTCAAACTTGCCTTTTATCTTCCGTCTGCGAGTAGACCGTCAAAACGTTATCGTATCTTCAGGTTTGATTTGGTTAACGTCGCGAGATGGGTTTTTATCGTGTTTTAGGACCTTTCGGGCCGTTTTACGATAAAAACCGTTTTACGACTTTAACGAGACCGTTTCCTGATCCGATGCCCTTTTTTTTACGATTCTCTCGACATTTTTTATTAAAAACGCGTTTTTATAATCTTAACAAAGAATCCCGGATAAATCGTATAGTTTAGGCGATGTTCGGTATTTTGCTTAACCGTTACCGTTTTATACGATTTCTTCGAGTTCTTTTCGGGAAAACGGAGTTTTACGGTTT